CTCAACTGTCTCTCTTGGGCACTCACACCAGGATGGAGCAGAGAGACCAGGACAAGGCACAACACCAGGATGGAGCACAAACACCTGGACAGGGCAGAGACACCAGAATGGAGCAAAGACACCTGGACAAGGGACAACACCAGGACAGGGCAGAGACACCAGGATGGAGCACAAACACCTGGACAAGGTACAACACCAGGATGAAGTACAAATACCTGGACAAGGCACAACACTAGGACAGGGAAGAGACACCTGGACAAGGTACAACACCAGGATGAAGTACAAATACCTGGACAAGGCACAACACCAGGACAGGGCAGAGACACCAGGATGGAGCAAAGACACCAGTACAAGCCCCAGACACCAGGAATCCAGGAGGACCCAGCACAGTTCCAAGCCCAGGAGCTGCTGTGCCCCATGAAGACACCAGTACAAGCCCCAGACACCAGGAATCCAGGAGGACCCAGCACAGTTCCAAGCCCAGGAGCTGCTGTGCCCCATGCCCAGCTGCAGCTCCAGTTGTTGCTATACCTCATTCTTTTCTCTTTGCTTTCCCCCTCCTTTATTTTCCCTCTCTCATTCTCGTTATTACCTGGAGCTTGTGCACTCCACCACATTCAGGTTCCTTTCTGTTCTCACCATGCAATGAAGAGCACTCAGTGACCCAGGGGGGACATTTCCCACCCTCTGCTTCCTTTGGCACTTGCACTGTGCATTGCTGAGCTCAAGGCAAGGGAAGCAGGAGCACAGATTCTTCTCTGGGAGGGGGAGAGAGGAGTTAGAGGGGCAGTAGATACTCCCTGTGTCCCTCTTCCATCTGTGCTGTTGACCTGCTGCCCTGAGCCCCCAACACCATCCCCTTGGGCAAAGGGAGGTACAAACCTTCTCCCTAAGGCCTGGATGGAGAAGGAACCTTGGGAGGAGGTAGAGGAAGATGTCTGACCCCATTCCCTCCCAGGGTTGCTGTGTGGACATCCAGATCCCAGTGCTGGCTGAAAAAGAAAAACCCAAGGGAATTTATCCTAACCCAGCCAAGCAATTCCTG